TCTCAAGACCACCATGAGACTCCTCCTAGCGCATCCTCTCCTCTTGGCTTCCCAGGTGTAAGGTATGGGTATGATGGCTCTCAAACATTTGAAGAGGTTGGTAGGTATCCAGGTGTCAAGAAGGTTGCCTGCACTTGTTGTAAATGTTTCACAGATAAAGCAACAAGCATTCCCTTTTATGTGACTTTGTACAACCCAAAGTAGTATATGTGAGTGGGAAGAAATGGGGAGGTTTATATAGTCAGATTTGCTAATGCTAACCTTTGCCAGGTAAATACACTCATTCTCCCGTGACATTATTTTCAAATACTATTTTTGTTGGAAAGGTACAGATATCCAAAAGAAATTCCTCTCCAAGGAAGAGCCTTTTTCAAAAGCAGATGAAGGACAGGGTTCCTGATTATTCCAAATAGTTGCAAAGATTTAATAATTCAATAAATTCAAATTAATTTTGAGATACTTCTTAAAGAGACAGGAGAAGTCTCCTATGAGTTTAATATTTCTTCAATGAAGAATCCAGAACCTTTCTATTCCCTCAGCTGTGCTAGCTACAGCAACTCCTTTGACATTACCTGCAGCAGTTACAGCCAATCTGCCCAGGCACTTTGCGAGGCTGTAAAGTCTTCACAGTTGAATATGGACACAACCATGGGCTCCAGAAAGAGTCATTCCAGCTTGCATTGATGGGAGCCTAAGGTTTCTTAACATCTGCCAGGTGCAAACAAGAGTTATGTTTGATAATGAAATCTAACAATTGTCAGAATTCAGCTCACCCAGCATGAAAAAGTCCTTAATCTGCACAACACAAGATGGACCGTACCCAAATCCAAAGGGAAAACTGAAAACAAGCAAGCTACACAATATCTGACGTGAGCATTTTTCCTCTCTCTCCTTTAAACTGAGACACCACACAGCCAGGCATGCAAGGTATAGAGCAGCCAGCGATTACAGCACGCACTTGCGAGGCAGTAGGACTGGGATTTCATCCCTGCTTCCAAGGCTGCTTGAAAACAGCATGTGCGCCTCAGGACACCCAGCTAGAACAGCAGCTCTGTCCCCTCTGAAAGCCTGACTCAGGAGGGCAGGGGAAGGAGTCCTTTTTGCTTACTGTCCTGCTGGCCCCATAGATGTTTTCATGTTGGATGCAAAGCAAACTAGGAGGCTTGGAGAGTGCTTTTACTCAGGATACTCCATGGCCTGAGGACTAGGATGGTCTCCTAGGATGCAGAAGCTGGCGTTGTGAGTCAGCCCAGCAAAGCAGGGTACAGCTGCCCATCCTCCGGCTATGGGGATAAGCAACTTCACCACCAAATTATTATGCAAAAAGTGGTCACTAGCACTATTCGCTGGGATTTCCTCTTGTCCTCCCAGAAGTCATAAAAGAGAAAAGGGATGCTTCGGTAACTGGATTACTTCAGGAAGCTGCTAGAAGAACTGCAAACCATCTGCAGTGAAGGCAGTACCTAACACGGGAGGGTCTGAATCTCTTTTTCAGGCTGCTAGAGGCACCTGTGTCTCTCCATTGATGGTGTAGAAAATACAGACATTTACGCCCATGCGCTTCCTGTTAAGATGCCAAGACTTTTGGTGTAAGCATTGCCCAAGGTAGACAGGCTGGTTTGACTCATGCCTTGAATAAGATTGTTCTTAATTGAACTTTGCTAAAAAGAAAACAAAAATCTGGAAAATAAATGATTCATAACCTAATTACTCCATGTGGTGTTTGGCAACCGCTTGATTAAAAAAAGGGGGGAGAGGGTAACTATATCTAAACCTTGGATAAGACTGTGGGACACTTTGCAAGTAGGTGCTTCATGCTCCTTAAGAAATGAAAAGAAAACAGGTTAAGAGCTCTGTAAAAGAAGCAGATGGCTCGTGCAAAGAGCATGACCAACAAAACTGGCTGGGAAAGCAAGAATGCTGGTTAGTGAATAATCTCATAATTCCAGAATTTATCTTCATTGTGCACGAGGGTGAAACCAAGATCTTTCAAAAATATTGCAACCCCACCCTGAGTAACCAACAGTCCTTTCCTGACACTCACAAAATGAAAACTTAATTCCCAGAATCTGGAATAGCAAACAGCCTGGGGACTGGGGAATGCTCCTGAGACGCCTGACATCCACATTTAAATGATTTCTATCTGCTTATGAGTTGCTTAGGCATAGTAAGATCATTTTTAATTAATTCATATTTTAAAAGGTGGTTCTCTTGCAAGATACTGGTACTGAACACCTGCAGCTGGGCCAATCCCGTGCTGCAGATCTGGGACCCAAGTCCAATCTCCAGCTCTCTCTCTGATCCTATAACTGTTTGTCATTTACGCAAAGTCCAAGGAAAGCAGGAAAGACCAAAACAGACACACTGACTCTATGGCACGGGACAGACACTACTGAAGGGCTTGGTAGCACGTGAAGCAGAAGGGGCGTTTGAACGTGAGTGTGACCTCCTCAGGCAAGGACCCAACCCAGCAGACTCTTCCTTACCCTTAAGCTGATTATCTCTGGTTTCAAGCAAATTCCTCCCAATACAACGTTTTTATACTAATGTTTTCTCAAAATCTACTTGTAAACTTCTACAGAGAGTTATAAATACTGATTTGTCAAAGAAATTTCTACAAAAAGATTTAGAAAAGAAAAAAATCTTATAAAGTAGCACCCTCTGTAATTAGTATAGAGACAGATGTAAGTTAAATATAGTAAAAGCAACTCAGCTGTGATGTACTCCTTTGCTTGCATAAATTAAAGTAGCTCTTTGCCCACTGTAATTTCCGCTACAAGTCAGTCTGGTGTGCAAGAACATTCACCATCAGGGAGGATTTAAAACCATTTCTGACTGCTTTTTCAAGAAATAGGAGTTTTGCATTGCTGAGGACTCAGCTGCCTGTCTTGTGGCAGAGCCATTTTGGGGTAATTCAGTCTCTGCTGCAGTTACAACCCTTACCTAATATAATATTTTCACAACAAATGTAACCGTACCCTGCATTTCTCAAGGTATGTGAGAAGAACACACTTAGAGAACCAGCACACTCCACAAGAACAGAAGTAACACTGTTTGTAGGGAAGGGTGTCTCTTTGCTTCTGAGGACTAGCAAATCAAAACAGTCTGTGACCTTAGTATGTGAAATCATAATAATTACAGGTTGTCCACCGAAGTAATTATTAATTTGTTTTGGTCTTTACCTAACTGTTCTAGCCAGTTCTACTGTAGCTCTTCAAAATGGATGTTCCTATAACTTGAAAAATGTCATCTAAATTCATATCTCTCTGTCTCTTGCACTTCCCAGGTTCACAGGATGCAAAAACATTACTGGACATAAGCGAGCGTTGGTCATCAGCTTTTAGTATTCTGTTAAAGTAACCCAAAGTGTTTTTTAAGATGTATTCTTATTTATGATATGTAGTTTAATGTATTTGCTGGCAAACATAAAAGAAAAAAAGATTATATGATTCCTGCATTCCTCGTATTCCTGCATTCCATCATTTTTTATTATTTATTTTAAGAGCCAACATATTATTCCTTTAAAATATAGTAGGCTAAAAAGTAAGATTGCCATTTCTTTTTTATTTTCTGGTGAACACAGGAAAAGAAACAATCAATCAAAGCCTTTTCTAGTTAAAACTAAATTATTATTTTTCTGAACAGCTTGTGGTTCAGATTTTGTTTAACTTCTTCAGCAGAGATTACTTTTACAAATTCTTGCTTGTTCAGAAAAAAATATTCACCTGGACGTATTTATCAGCCAAGGGTTTTTCATTACTGTTATTTAGAAAGAAAGTTCTTGTTCAAGATTATTTCTTTTAAATCTGAGTTAGGCAAGGTACGTGGAGGTATAAACTCTTCAGAAGTTTCATGGTAATATCAAGAGGTTAACAGGTGGTTTAGAAATATTTTGTGTCATCAGTTGTATTTAATCCCTCTAAGCTAAAGTACCATGAAGCAAGTTTCTCTTACGTGCTGCGTCAGTCTGCAACTGAATCTTATAGTCCCATCCCTGAAAAGGTTTAACCTGCCTGTGCAGTTGCAGACAAGCTGCTCACGCTTACATTT